GCATATGTGATATAAAATAACAACCATTGGATTTAGGTTAATTAGTTAGAAATTTTATTATATTTTTTTTATGGTTATTAGATGCAATTTCCCTTTTTTCAAGTAACTGAAGTTTTATGGTAAGTCAAATATAAAAAAACGATACAACCTGGTGGTATTATCAATTAAAACACGACAACTCTTAATTCGATCATATCTATGTTGTCTACGTCTTCCTTTGAATAAAAGAAAAACCGCTTGTATGGATTCGAGTTAGAGTTATGTTTCAAAATAAAAATTATAAAGTTTATGGATGAATATATTGAAAAGGGTTATATAAATATCTAGAAATGAATGCATTTTGGTGTGATTGGAAAAAAATGAAAAACTATTGAGAGAATGACATTGTGTATGATATTTATTTGAGTATTATTTAAGAATGAAAGTGAAAAAGAAACACAAAAAGAAGATAATTTTGGTTAAGAAATAGGAAGGAAACTAAGAAACTAAAAGAACGAAAAAATTGGAGAAAAATAGGGGGAAGAGTTTATGTGTATATGAGGATTTTGGAGATTAGCTGATGATATTGTTGGTGTGATTTCATTGCTATACAATCAATCTATTTTTTTTTGTAGTTAAGAGGTAGCTGAAGATTTTTGGGAGAGTTGAAAAAACCCTAACACAAAAAAAAGAAAGAGGAGTTCAATGTCGGATAGAAAAATATTTTTATCATTTCTATGCCAACCAAAACAAAATATCGTTGAAAAGATTTTTATTAGTCAATGTCCTTTTGTTTTATACAATTTTTTAAAACGATATAGAAACATGATACACTATAGGAAGAACGTAGATTTTAGAGACGTGGCAGCGCAAACTCATTCTATATATTTTTTTGTAAAATCATATGCGATCAAAAATATTTATGTTTAATTCAGATTTTCACTTCTATCATTTGTTGTATAACAGTTTAATCAAATTAATGTTTAAAAATACTCAATAAAATATTATTCAGTAAAACTTATCAAAGTTTGTATTAATCTTCTT